AGATCCAGATGGAGACCTCTTTTCCGCTTGGCTACCATCTCCTCCTTTTCGTTCCACACCTGCACTGCAGGAAAAAGATTTACAATCCTTCCCCATCCCACCCTGGGAAAACTCTTGAGTCTGTGCAAGGACCTGGTGAGCACTGTGGAGTTTGGGTTTTGGTCACTAGTGATAGCTCTGTGAAAGCCCATGAGCCTCCAGCATTAGATGAGACACATGACTCCTCCACTCATCAGATCTCCGTAGTGTTAGCAGAGACAGACACACGGCTCCTCCACTCATCAGATCTCCGTAGTGTTAGCAGAGACAGACACATGGCTCCTCCACTCATCAGATCTCTGTAGTGTTAGCAGAGACAGACACATGGCTCTTCCACTCATCAGATCTCTGTAGTGTTAGCAGAGACAGACACATGGCTCCTCCACTCATCAGATCTCCGTAGTGTGACTGTGGACTGTTACAGTTTTCCCCCCTTCCCACACAGGCCAAAGGCTGTGAAAGCAGTTTGATTTGAATCGACAGGAAGTCCCAGTGTAGAACAGCTATGTCCCATGTCTCTCTATACGCAAAGTGGACTTTAGCTTTGCTCTGCAAGGTAGAGGTCGTTGAAGACGACATACTGAATCCAAGAGAGACCCACACCGGATACAGGAGTCTATGAATCTAGAAAAGGACCAAACTTACATGTCCTGAATTCAGTAAAACATACATCTTAAAAAGATCCCACTTACTTGCGTCATTTATTCATCATGAGGTTCTGTATCACCTCACTTCTAATACCAAGAATCTTGATCGCTATGTTTTATTGCCACCCCCTGACCTCCCTAAACATCTCCCTTAGATCAGCTGGTGAATTTGTCTACCTTCTCCTCTTGTTCAGATGTGCTATAGAGCTGTTGGTGCAGAGTAGAGTCACCCAGGAACATCATGTGGGCCCTCCCATATATGTGAAGCCCATTAGATTCCAATGGGATGGAAAAGCCATAGAAATGCAATTATTATTGAAATAAATATTACGGAAATGAATTTTATTTGGAATGAATGAAAGCCTTGAAAGAGGGATGTTTATACAGTGTTTAATTATTTGGTGTTGAGAGGCATTCAGCTTTTTCTTAAATAGAATTTTTCAGGTGGAAAAAATATATATCTTAGAACATACATTTGTCAACTTGTAAACTGTATATTTTTTAATTCAACCCAAAAAATAATTTAACTTAAGTGGTTAAATGCCTGAGTTGTATGATATATTTTCACAAAGAATATATACAATGTGTGTTGACAAATGGATTTATAAGATGATATTCAGGCAACTCAGAAAAATGTTCAAAGTTCTGTCTTGTGTAAAATTTAAAACCTGGTTTGCTGCCAGTACAAATTTTAAAATGAAACCACTTGTTTTTCTTATGGTTTAAAGGCTGTTGTTGAAGTCTTGTCTAAAACCATCTGTCTCTGAAAACTGCAGATTGCACACGCCGTGTACACACTGGCCTGAGTTTAACAGTCTGTCTGTCATGGTTATTCTGTTTTCTTAGGGCTATATCTGGATTAAATCTCTATCTATATTACACGGCTGAAGACTGGGTTCGTGGGAAGTGTTGACTGGTTACCAGTCTTTTCTGCAGAAGCTGCTGTCACATTAATTCTGACTAGATAAGCACTACGAGAATGCACTAATCCATTTATAAAACATAAACCTTTAAAGACAAGACACATTGCTGAGAATTGTAACTTATCACTACAACATTAAAATAGAACAGAAGCTTTTCCAACACAATAAAAGTGTCTGACATGCTGGTCACACATCTACGAGACTAAAAAGCCATACGGAGCAAAAATAAAGTAAAGACACGGTCTTTGTTCAAACTGCAGTTTTGCCTGTTTTGTCAAAGACAAATGTCTTGGAGCTTCGTCAAGAACTTTGCACATCTGATACTGCTTGAGCTTGATAAAATTGCAGGATAAATGGTACCTTTATCACCTGTATTAGCTAGTACTCAGAGGTTTTCTGCTGATGTCTTACAGGTTTTGCTATCACAGAGGTCCAGAAGAAACAAGCTATGCTGAATGCCTGTAAGAGCCACCCAGCTGGGAAGCCTAAAGGTACTAATACATTTTATTACTTACCGCTGCAGACTCAGATAATCACAGGGCATGAAGAACACAGGAACGCTCTGCAGCTGCTGAGCTAGTTTGGTTATTATCAGTTTCATGAAAGAAAAGCCATGAAATCCTGTAAACATATAATCTAGAAGCTCAGCAGGCCATATCTCAAAACCTGCTGTTTGAAAAGGGATTGATAAAAGCTTCTGCCCATTCCCCTCATAAACCAGAAGGCACAACCCAGGACAAGCAACATCTACCCTTGTGGTCACAGCAGGAGGGACAACCCAAATACTGTTAGCTTCTCTTCCAGGCGGGTGCTGTCCCTATTTTTTTTCATTTTTCCTTCCATCCATCCTCTCTTGCACGTCTGTCCTCTGTCCGTCTGTCTCTCCCACACATCACAGACATCCACCGCCTGCTGGCCAGCAGCCAGCCTTCTCCTCCTCCTCTTCCTCTCTCCCAGTCTTCCCTCTGTCTCCTGGAATCTTCTCCTCCCTCCCC